AGTTTTATTAACATAAAAAACAATCTAAATTTTGTACATTATTGCAGGATATGTCAGGACTAAAGAGAGGACGGGGTGGGAGAAGCTCTTCCTTCACACGACATGGCAGCACAAGTAGTGGAGGTATTAGCTCTACCCCTGCAATTGGACATACCATTTCACCTCGACCACTCCAAGTACAATTTGAGGAATTGCCTGCCGACTCTCCCCCTACTCAAAACAGTAGTGCAGGTAAATTTTCTTTACTTTTATATAATACAAGTAACTAATTAGCATCACATACTTTTGACTATATTATTTGTTCACTTGAATGATAGGCTCTTCTAATATAATTAAGAAAGGTAGAGGAGTTTATAAGTCGCTCAATGTGGACTTAATCACTAAATTTGGAGGAAAGATTCAGCTTACTTTCACAGATGACATGACAAGAGCAGTAGGGCAAGGAGCAAGAGAGCTAGCTAATTATTGTGGTTATGTTATTAGAACCACAATATCTTTGAAGGATTGTGCTGAATGGAGGAATGTTTACACAAATTATATTGATGTTATGATTTTAAAAGTGAAGGTACAATTTATGTTTAGTAAATGTATATCCTACTTTATTTATGCTTTCAAAACAAGTACTTATGCTGATATTGATTTTTATTTTAGGAAAAATTTCAACCTGCTGTTGCAACAGATGAAGAGAAGTTTCAAAAGATGATAGTGACCACATTGCAAAATGCTTTCAGAAATTGGAAGACCAACTTGCATACCCACTATAAGAAATTTGACACTGATGAAGAAAGGTTGGCAAATCCACCTCAAACTGTAAGTTTTGAAGATTGGGAGTGGTTATTGACATATTTTCAGTCAGATCCATTTAAGGTATCTTACTAAATACTAACTATTTAAATGAATAATATAATTATATCATTCAACATACTTAGTAGTTACTCAAATTTGATGTAGAACAAAAGTGCTAGAAACACACAAAACCGAGCAAAACAAGTAACAAAGCATACATGTGGTCCCCGATCATTTGCGGAGGTTGAGTTCTCTGTAGTAAGTTGCCTCTTCACTACACTTTATTTTTTTATCCATTTTTTTATTTTTCAAGATTTGTTATTTTTGTATATTATGCTTTATAGAGAGACCCCACCACTGGACAGCCTGCCCCCCCAGATCAGGTTTGGGAGATAACACATACTAGGAAGACTGCAGATGGCCAGTTACAGTGGGTGGATTCGCGATCTGAAGAGATTCATGTATGTATAAATATCTGTCCTTTATATTTAATTAAATAATTATATTTTTTTCATTCATGTAATTTGTAATTTGTAACTATAGGATCGCATGCATGAGCTCGTTCAGCAGCAATCCTTAGAGAGTGATGCTCGAATGACCTCTGATGAGATATTGACAGCTGTTCTTGGTGAGAGGTCAGGATATGTTAGAGGAAAAGGTTATGGAGCAGAGCCTCGGAGGAAGAGACTTCACACTCAATCTAGTGATTCACTTGAGAATGTACGCACCCAATTGTATGAAGAGTTTGAAAGAAGATTTCAAGAGGAGCGAGAAAAGATGGAAGCAAATCTTGCTGCAGAGCGAGAGAGGATGGAAGCAGAACGTGCAGCAGAGCGAGAAAAGATAGAAGCAGAACGTGCTGCAGAGCGAGCAAAGATGGAAGCAGAGCGTACGCAACTTGAACAAAGGATGGAGCAGTTGATGGAACAGAGAATACAAGCTCAGTTCACTGCTTTCATGCAAAAGATGCAGTTAAATGCTCCTGCAGATACCCCTACTTCTAGCGTCCCTAATATTGATCCCTCTACGTAATTTTTCTTTTGTATTATGTAATGTATCTTTTAATTGAACAATTTTTTTTTTCAGTTAGAGACATAAAGAACACTTTCATGGTTATAAATCTTATTATTTAATATATCATATTTGTGTGTTAATTACTTTATTTTTATTAAACTTTTTAATAATATTTATCAGCAATATAAATAAAAGTTTTTGCAGAATTAATATATTATAAAAATAATTAAAATTACAATCAGCGGCGACATTTGTCGCCGCCGAATCAAGCTTCGGCGGCGACCACAATGTCGCCGCCGAATCGAGCTTCGGCGGCGACAAAAATGTCGCCGCCGAATATAGATTCGGCGGCGACCAAAATGTCGCCGCCGAATAAAGCTTCGGCGGCGACCAAAATGTCGCCGCCGAATAAAGCTTCGGCGGCGACCAAAATGTCGCCGCCGAATCAAGATTCGGCGGCGACCACAATGTCGCCGCCGAATCAAGCTTCGGCGGCGACCACAATGTCGCCGCCGAAGCAAGCTTCCGCGGCGACATTTGTCGCCGCTGATTCTCATGTTTCAGCGGCGACAGTCCTGAGCGGCAAACTCATCAGCTTTCAGCGGCGACATTTTGTCGCCGCTGAAAGGTGTTTCAGCGGCGACATTCTGTCGCCGCTGAATGTCCAGTTTCAGCGGCGACTTTGTGTCGCCGCTGAATGTCCAGTTTCAGCGGCGACTTTTTTTGTCGCCGCTGATAAGTTTCAGCCACGGTCGCTACGGCAACGACTTGGTGGCGACAAAATGTCGCCGCTGAAGCTTTTCAGCGGCGACTTTTGGACTTTCAGCGGCGACATTTGTCGCCGCTGAAAGTCGAATTTTTTGTAGTGACTTGTATGCCGATCCAGTTTTAAAAGGGAAAAATATCAATCTTGAGCACGACAAATTGGAAAAAAGTCTTACATTAAAAATTTTATTGGTAAGAAAATTATAATAAATTTTTATATACAAAAAATAACAGTAGTTTAAAATTTTTCATGCGCATGCATGGAAAAGTATCAGTATTCTAATTTAGATCATTTTCACGAATAAATTTAACGGGAGACTTTTCTTCAATTTTTCCTTTTAAGCTTTGGTCAAATACATAGAAAATAACTAAATTACTGCTGGGGACAACAACATCATTGATTTCGCCCCCATGGACAACGCTAAGACCCAATATTTACACATTTCACATTGCTGAATATTCCTATGCATAATATATATATCAGTTCTAACGAATGAGGTTTCATATTATTATATATAATCTCATAGGGTCTAATGTTAATTAGTATAAGCCATTTGGCACGCATTTATAGAGACTTTACATTAACAAAATATAAAAAATGCATATAGTCATCTAACTTTAATTTACATAAATTTTTAATTTGAAACCTTTACCTTTATAAAGTATATTTATTTCAAAAATATTAACACACTAATTTAAAATGTTGAAAAATATAAATTAATTAAACTTAGTATAACAACACTTAAAAATGGTTTATCAACACTTAAAATTATAATATCATTAATTTCTTTTAATAAAGCTAATTAATTTCTTTTAATAAAGCTAACCATGCTAAGGTTAGAAGAGTAAAACTTAATGTAAAATTAGATGATTAATAACTAAATTGATTCAATTTAAGGGAAAAATCCGCCATGCCGCCACTTTATTCGTCACAAAACGAAAGCAGCCCTTGAAAGACTTACAATTTCAGAACAAATTCATCAGTTTCAGAAAACTCAGGGGGTTTGGCCAAAAAAAAAAAACAAAAGAAAAGAAAACCTATAGGGATAATGTGATAGCCTTGTTTTAGCCAAGGCGAAAAAATTAATCAAAGAGCTGGGGAGATGCATGGAGAAAATTAAATTCGTGAGGCAAACACCCAAATAACCAGCAGAAATCATAACTCAATATGGAAAACCCAAGCCCGCACTTAATGGAAACCAAACAATGTAATGAGCTGGGCAAAAGAACCATGAAGTGAAAATTCAATATATAATCTTGATAATCTCACGGCCTTAATTTGAGGAAGAGATTGCCACTTAATTATCCCTCCACATGGAGATCAGTGAATTAATTTCAGAAAAAGACTGATGGTGCTTATCTATTCTCATCTGTAGTACTTTGTGACACATCTAATTTTCTGATTGGAAGGTAAATACCAGAGTACTGTCTCCATCTTAATTAAAGACAGACTTTCATATTTATGCCTTTTTCTTTGATTTGGAGACAAATTCAATTGATATCTTGTTTGACATATATTTGGTTTAAGGCGATTCTGTTCTTGGTATTTTATTTCTCTTTTGTGTTTTATTGGCCAAAACAGAAGAGGGCAACGGCAGTCGGAGCAATAGCTAGAAACCCTAGAGCGCAATCAAGAAAAATGTCTCCATCGTATGCTAGTATATAAGCGTAGCATCCCCAGTGCAGTAAAATAGATTAATTACTGAGTAATGCTAGGATTTTGGGGGGAAAAAAGTCGAACAGAAAATGGAAAATGATAAGAGTCATAAACCAACTAGCAAAGGAAGATCCCAGTCCAATAACAAGTAAAAAAATAGCTAAAATAGTATTTTAAATTCACCATTATTATTCATGTAGACCACAATACAAGATGCATATAGAACTGAATACTTTGCGATGCTTGCGTGCCTAGCTAGGGTTATTCTTCTGCAATCAACAGACGTCTTCGGTTGTGCAATATATGTGTATCATCATCGGTCGATCAGGAGATCGCACTAGTGATCAATCGGAGAGAAATAATAAGGCTCAAAAGGGACTTAATTATTCGGAAGAAAGAAGCTTGATGTATATAATACTTGATCGAGAGCATATAATTTTCACATAAGTATACAGGTGATTCTTCTATCGAAACCATACAACAGTACAATATTGATCGAAAAGAAGAGAGGGGAGGGGGTGACTGACGATAATTAATAAAGTACTGATAATGATTTTAAAACAAGTAGAAATTACGAAGGCACGAAAAAAGGCCCCTTTCCATTTGTTTTGATCTAGATTATTATGGGCACAGGTTATGAAGAAACAACCACGCATTGGATAGATATATGGTTGGAAAAAAACAGTGACCCGCACGCACGCCCTGTGGCAACTAATGACTAAAGAGGATTGTCCAACAAATTGGAGAGACACATGAGAGAGCGATGGTCATTTAGGGTTCAAAAGTTCCAAAGGAACAATGATTGTTGGGAAAAAGCGTCATCACATTCCATTGCGTCCCCATTGTCACTAACATGATCGATGAATGGAGGTGGTGATGTGGGAAATAACAACTCACCAGAGTGCATCTTGTCGAATCCAGAGTAGAAACCATTATAATTGGCGGAGCCTGTCTCATCCAGTGACTTCAAAAACGACCAATCGTTAATGCCCCTTGTGTCCCCGAACCCGTTGTCCACCTCCACAGGATCGCCACTCTCAGTGACCCCATCAGATTCACAGGAGGAAGGAGCCGCTACTTCCGAAGATTGCTGAACCATCGGTGGCTCCTGCTGGTACTCGTTGGCAAACCTAGCAGCAAGCTCCTGGATTTCTTGAGCAGAACGAGATTGGTGATGGTCGCCGGAGACACTGATCTCCAGCTCCAAAGGCGTGTCCGGGAAATTGAAATTGGCGTGGCGACCGCGCAGGCAGTACAGGGCGGCGTCGAAGGCTCGAGCTGCCTTCTCCGCCGAGTCATAGGAGCCCAGCCAAATGCGCTCGCGGCTGTTGGGAAGCCTGATCTCAGACACCCATTTGCCCCATTTTCGCTTTCTGACGCCTTTGTACTTACTGGATGAGCAAGAGTCGATAGTACTTCTCGGAGTGTGGTCGGAATCATTAGGTATTGTGGAAGCCATGGGAGGGCCGGGGTATATTGATTTGGGTTTGAGATGTGAAATTGACGGCTGTAGAGAGAGGGCAGTATATATATAGAGAGGGTGAAGAGGGCGGAGGTGTAAGATTTTGAAGGAGAGGAGGGTCTTAGAGCTACAAGCGCGTTGATCGGGAGGAGCGTTGAGGGAAGAGCACGTGCGGAAATGGAGGAGGGATGTTGACAATTGAGGTGGTGTCTGGATGTTGGTGGACCTCGCAGGCCGTTTGCCCTGCGATTCGTAATAATTGGATGACGTCATCATCCTCGACTTCGCATTTCACCCCTCCGCCGGGGGGGGGGGGGTTCTCGTGGTTTTTATCTGGTTACAACATACTTAAATTTCCATGGGGTTAGGTAGACGATGATCCTTAATTACTGTTTACTTTAGCTTAAAAAAATAATTTTATATTTTGTTCGGCAGAAATCTTATATGCATACATATATGTATTATGGCTATTTCGTAAATTGCAAAATTAGTTTTTCATTGCTAATATGCTATTACTGATAATTTTAATGCTTGAAACACACGGACAAATAAATCGATACCTATTATTACAGGTAAGAAAATCGAGTTATTTAATATTAACTAATTGCCGTTTTTGTATCAGAGAAGTTCCCTGGTGGTCTGACGACGTCCAAGAATGATGGTCGGTTCGAAACACATTCAGGACACCCAACTAACAAACCCATAGTTAGGTATGTTTGAATACTCCCTTCATTTTTTTTCAACAAAGTAAAATTACAGTTTGTTTTGCTTTCAGTTTGGTTCTAAATACAATATTTTAATTTATTTTTTTATCATATTTAAATACTTTTATCAAAATAATCAATAATCCTTGTAGTAATTACATGTGTTAAAAGTTTAATCAAATAATAGTTCTAACTAATATACATGATTTGCTTTTATATTCTGGGAAAGATAATATTACCTTTGGTCCTTAATATAAGAGATGGTTGACTAATTTGAGTATATTAAGAACATTAGTTAAGTTAGTTATTTATAATAAATAGGTGTTATATTTTCTAAAATATTCTTACTAATCAAGTGCATACTAAAACTATTGCTATTACAAGGACTTTCTTAAAAAAATGAATAAATATGATAGACAAAATGGGTTGTGATCTTATATTTAGGATCAAAATAAAAGTCAAATTGGCTTTTATATTAAAAAACCGTAAGTAGTACCTATTCATTACAAATAACTAACTTAACAAACCTTTTTAGTATACTCAAATTAGTCAATTAGCTCTTATATTAAAGACCTGAGGTAGTATATGTATTTTTTTACCAAATATATACAACAGTTTGAGAAATCCTTTAAAAAGACACCTAAATAACCCAAAATTTTATTTGGGTAATTAAATTTATCAAAATCTTAATAAAATCACATAACTTAAAGAGGAATTTTAAAATTTTATAAAATAACTACAATACCCCCTTTACTGGAAACCTAGATGTGGGGATTTTCTATCATTTTTTCATTGCATAAGAACTCTTAACAAGAGAAATTTAGTTTCTACCATTGCAAAGTCAGAAAATCGATCAAAAAGGGAACAATAAGTTAGTTTTTGCATGAATCTTCCTCCCTTAATCATGTAAGTATGTTATAGAGATAGAAAATTATTAATTTATAATTAAAATGTGTTAACTACAAAATAAAACATGTTAATTTTCAAGATTGCATTGTGATAAAATTTTATTAAAAAACTTACTGTTAGTGTGTTATAAAGATAAAAAGTTGTGAATTTAGAATTAAAATGTGTTAATTATGAAATAGAACATGCTAATTTTTAGAAGTTATATTGTTATCAAGTTTTATTCAAAGACCTGTTGTAAGTATTATGGAGACATAAAATTGTAAATTTAAAATTGAAATGTGATATTTGTAAAATAAATATGTTGATTTTTAATGCTGTATTATTATCAAGTTTTATTCAAATACTTGTTACAATTGTATTTTGGAAACACACAACAACAACAAGCCTTATTCTATTAGGTGGGGTCGGCTACATGAATTGCACAATGTCATTGTGCTTTATAAACAACGAAGTCCTGTTTTGGAAACATAAAGCTATTAATTTAGAATGGGAACTTGTTAACTGCATAATTGAACTTATTAATTTTTTAGACTTTGTTGTGGTTAAGTTTTGTTTAAAGATTTACTTCAAATTTGTTATGAAAATCAGAAGTTATTGATTTAGAATTAAAACGTGTTAACTATAAAATGTGTTAACTTATAATTCTCTTTTGGTTTGTAATGAAAGGGAGCATTTGAGTAGTTTTATAAAATTTTAAAATCCCTTTTTAAGTTGTATGATTTGGTTAGGAGTTTGACAAATTTAATGACTCAAATTAAGACTCCGGTGGGTTACTCCTTAATAGTTTTCGCCTCTACCTTCAATTAATATTCATGTTTTTCTCTTCATTTTATTCCGATACGGGCAAGGTCTTTTTATTCATTAACTAGGCAACCTCAAGAAAGAATCATATAAATTGCTTTATATATATGAATACTACACCCGTCAAATTTTACCTCTTGTGATTAAAAGCGGGAGGAGTACTGTTGGCTAAAATCTCTCATGAAGTTTTTTCCAATATTGGGGGAAAAGAAAAGAAAAGAAAAAGATAGAATGGCAAGATATCCCTGACATACGTCATCATTTGTCAATGGTATGATACAGAGGTTTAACTTGCATAGGTTCTTATTACAAATATGTTTTCAGCATTTGCATGCGTATCTTAAAAAAATTGTTATATGGTTAAAGTTGTAGGAAAAAAACACAAAAATTTCACTTTCACCTTGAAGAAGAAACTAAAACTAATTAATCGTTATATGAGATAATCATTATATTAGATAATTTTATATAATACCTTATAATCTGCATAAAAATTCCTTTTAAAATGAACCTTATATAGATGATTGAAAGGAGTAAATAATGTTCAATACAATCTCGAGTTTTAAATAATTTTATTTAATTGCACAATTATTCAAATGATCCCTAAACTTTAGGAGAATTTCTTTAGTTTTTTTTTTTAAGAAAACAATCCCCATCAAATTAACCAAGCTTCAGTGCCTTTTAAGATTCAAAAGAGCTTAAGTGTAGTTACTTCGCAATTTTTTAATCACTGTAATTTGATAATCACCTTTTAAATTTAGACGCAAGAAACCATCTACGCAAGCCAAGTCCAATACCAGCTAGGATAATTTATCATTTACGGTTATGCTAATAATATGTGTACAAATTTTTTTAATTTACTGATTAAAGCATGCGCAGTGACGTAATGGACATGGGTTAATACATTCGATCATGCCTCGTATGCGCACTGATCTACTTAATTTATAACAATTACATTTGGTTATTTTCTTCTTGGAACAACCACTTACACGATTTGACCATAATTACTTATTTGTTTTTACCTTTGATTAATATGAAACACAAGTTTGCCCAGCCTGCCCTTAGTTAGAAAAAAAGAAAGAGATGCCAACCCTTAGCGGACAAAGCAATAAGACCTATATAATTACCAGTCAAAGATATTTGTTCATGTGTGTGTGTGTGTGTTATTTTCTACCCAAATCTGAACTGAGGTTCAAAATTTTTTTGCTCATGCATGTTATATATAATTAAGTTATATTGATGAATAGCTGTACTTATTACACATATACACGCAGATATACTTTACATTCTTGATTACCAAATGAACTATTGATCTTTGTTTTATTATGCATAAATTTAATTGGTATACTCTCATGCTCCTATATATAAAACCTATTTTATAATTAATTTACATTATAAAATAAGTCTTATATTTAGGTCCGGGATAGTAACATATATAGTATAAAAATTTGCCCTGTTTACAAGTTGACAAAGACTCATTTCCGTCTCCACACAAATTGGGGGGGGGGGGTTCTAGGTTTTTGTTAATATTTTGTTCCCCCATACATCCTTATTATTTGTGCTGGGAATGATGAATGAGCACCAAGTCTACTTAGAAGGTGTTTAGAACACCCTAAAAAACAATTTTTAACAAATCGAGATAACTTCCTTCATATATTTACTTTATACACCGTAAAATTACTTTTAAAACCATTGTTTGATTTCCATTCAAACAACCCTTTACAAATGATTAACATGTCAGAATCGGAGGTAGTTTGGGAAAGCTTTAAAAATATTGTTATCTTTTTATATATTTATTTCATATAATGCAAAATCAATTTTTCACGACTAATTCAAGCAAGCACCAATTGTTTATTGTTTAATATTCTTAACATGTGCTCGAAAAAAGATATAATTAAAATATGCTCGATATTTCGCTATCCACTTGAAATAATATGATTGAATCTGTTTTTTATTTTCCTGCAAAAGGCAAGGGAGATCACTTAATGACATACATATAGTATATATTTTGTAAGCAAAAACTGTATAGGATACCTGGGGGCGGGAATGTGAGCAGCGTGTTAGATGGGAATGGTTCAGATTTTTTTTAATATTTTCAAATATTATAAATTTTTTAAATCAATTAAATTAAATTTTTTATAGATTAAATTCAAGTTGTTCCCTATTTTCATAAAGATATATAATTAAATTAACTTAGTCCTTACAGGTTATTAACACAAACAACTCGGTCCTGTTAAATTATAAAATCCAATCCTTATAATTTCTTAATTAAACAAACTATAAGGATTATTAAATTATAACAAATTAAACTTTAGAGACCGAATCAAAAGGTTAAAAAAAAAATCAAAGACTCAAAGTTACACTTTCTACCACATACGCGCACACACAATTAAGGAGCAGAAAGTCTTTGAAAATTACAAGAACAAGTAAATCATTGGAGGCATTAAAGTTATCGGGTCCTTTTTGATGAGGTCAAAGAAAGGGAAAAAATGGAGGCGAGGCCGATGGGATATATAGGATCCATGTGAATTGAGAGCTTTATATTTTTCCCCACACAAATTCTTTTCTTGAAATAAGAAAATACTAAATCTGCAGAAAA